AGGGGCTAGGAAGTATGCCGTACCATTAAGTAGTCAGATGCTATAGAAGCTTCTCATTGTACTCTTGCTAATGCTTTAATATGTTCTTCTCTTTCAGGAAAGCATGTATTGGTCGATGAGTATGAATGCATACAAATTTGGCTCAGCTAGCGAGGGGAGTAATTCCTATTACAGTTCTTATGAGATGAATGGTCAAATGCCAACAATAGAGGTCACTGGGAGTGACTGGGAACAGTCTTCGAGATATAGTGTTGAAGAGCCTGCCAGAATAGATTCTCAATCTGAGGAACATGCATCAACAAGTGTGGATGGGAATCCGGAAGAATGTAAGTGCAAATAATTATTTTATCATCTGGTTGACCATAAAATATTGCAAATAATGACTTCAAAGAATGGTGTCCCACTGATTAATCAGTAATGCGCGCAAGCTGAGGTCAATTGATCAGCTTGGGGGATTTCCTGTAAGACACAAGCTTGAATTGAGGGAGAAGAAACTTTCCTAAGCCTTGCTAAGATTCAGACTTCTCTAATTCAACCACCATATTTGACCAAGAATTTGCTCTATTATTTCAGGTAGCCCGAATCATCAATCTCCTGATGAATCTCAGGTATTCATGTTGCTTGTTAAGTGGCTTTATGCACTTGACTACTCAGAGTGGTTTTAGTTGGTCAACTCTACCTTTTGGCTAGGTCTGAATGTAGAGTGAAATTGGTGTGAATGCAACTGTCAATGTTTGGCTTACTCTGTTGTTTGGCTTATTTTTATTAGGACCAATTCCTTCTGCCATCCCACTTAAAAGTACCTAATTACGTCCATAGTCACTACTCGGTAGATTGATCAAAATTTCTCGTTTGTAAAGCTAATGATGTTTGACATACTTCTTTTAATGACCTTTCACTGGTTAAGACATTCTTTTACATATCCCATCAACCTGAAAAAATTCTCTTCTGAAGAAGATATAGAAAATGTAAAATTAAAAGAAAAGTCTGCTGATGCCTCTGTGAATTACTGCAGGCTGTTTGGCAAGACGACATCGATCCAGACAACATGACATATGAGGTTTGTTTTGATTAGTATATGTAATCAACTTACAAGACCTTTTCTTTTGTTCTGAATAATGAGCATGCACTGTTCCTTGATGGATGTAGTGGCATTTGTGTGAATGCCAACTGGTCTGTGGGCAATTATAATTAAGATGGCATGATTCATCAATGCTGAGGCAATTATCACAAAGTAGCTTTTTTTTTTGGCCTGTATCACGAAGTAGCTTGAAAGCACGTAAACCCCATCTTGATGTGCATATAGATGTCCAATCATAGCAACCTTCTATATTCCTCATTCAAAGAATCGGATATATTTTATTTTTTTACTTCCAAGGTTCAATTACATTTGCATGTTTTCTTTATGATAGCCAATTAGCCTTTTCAGATATGTTAAAATTCAAATAAAGAGAATGTACATTGACACCGGTGATAATTTTACTAGATTCTTCTAAGTAGACTTATATGTGGATTCTCTGTGTTCCTTACGTTAGACCTTTTTTACACCAGCCCCTATATATCTGGTTAAACAATTTGTGGTGATCCTTGGTTTCAATACCAGTTTGGCTGAGGATCTGTCCCTTGTTTGTCTCGTTATGTGTGATTAATTTCCATGGTTTTGGCTAATGTTAAATCCCAATCTGCACATCATGGGATACAAAAAGTGTCAGGGTGCTAGAATAATAATGATGCCGTCATTTACAAGGTTAGGCTTTTAGATAAATAGATGGAGATCTCACATGACTTCACATCCAATGTATGTATCTATGTCTATTTTTACTCATTTTCCTTTTTTGTGTCTTCTTCACGACTAGAAACATATATGAAGTGAAGTTGACGTATAATACAACTGATATAAATTGAGTGTGGAAAGGAAATCATGTCTTCCCAAGTAATAAGGAGCTCTCAATGAATTCCGCTCTCTTTATACAAGTAATCTGAGCATATTGACTATACACTATGACCTTTAAAACTATCCTTGTAGATGCCCTATTTTTCAACATCATCACCCAGCAGGAATATGGGAAATAAAATGTCCAGAAACGTGCGAGGAACTGGTTTCATTTCCTTTGCTTTGTGTATGTATTTTCCATGGAGATGTTGATTTGCACCATGAAGGGATAATAGGCATAACCACCATGTTTTTGTTCGAAAGCTGATAGTTCGACAATTATCAAGAAAAGTAGAATCATTTGACACTTGTACTTTATAAAGCCAATGTGCTATATGTTTTTACGTAGTGGAACCACTATTAACCCCTTCATGTCAACTCCAAATTCTTACCTATAAAGTCTGCCATAAAGCTTTTCATTGATGGGGACTAGTGCATGATGCCTTGTAATTGTTTAGATAATAGAAGATGCGGGAGAATGATCTTGGAGGCTTTTGGATTTTTTGATTTAAGAAGAATTGGTCCTCAGCCTTAATATTCAGAAAAACCAAAGTTAAATTATGTATTTGGGAATACAGCAGTCTTTAAACCTTGAAAGTCATCTTTAGATAATGCAAATGATTATTTTCATTGTTGTTCCTATTTCCAGGAACTGCTCGATTTAGGCGAGGCAATTGGAACTCAGAGCAGAGGTCTTCCCCAAGAGCTCATTAGTCTGCTTCCAACCTCAAAATACAAGCTCGGTGGTTTCTTTACCAGAAAAAAATCTGGGGAGAGGTATCATTCTGTTTTTTTGGTGCTTTAGACTACTAGAGATAAAATGGATGCATTGTTTTAATCTTTAATGGAAATCGTCTTTGAACTCTTTTGCTCCTTTGGACACCCTGCTAAAATTACTGGATAATATCCTTTTCATGAAAAAGTTGATGTGTAATATCATTAGCAGTTCAGGCATTATCAGCATGACCTAAATCACGCTACTTTCATTGCCGCATGTGTGACGTGCTTGTCGTTTTACCGACAAATGGTAACAAATGAGTCTGCAAAAGATTTCTGATTTACCTCTGGGGAATGACCAGAACAAGTGCCATGAGCAAATTGGCTAATTTTTAAGGTTAATATTTCAGGATTCTCTTTGCAGTCTTATCTCAACTCCTTTCAGGAATTGTCTCTTCTACTTTTATTTTGGGTATTATCTCATTAATCTTATAATTTTCTAACAACTAGAACCAGATAACATTTCTCTTTTTGATGACACGCATTGGTTTTTGTGGACAATGGACCTTTGCCTCTTCCTTCATATATATTATTCCTTTGCTAACAAGTGTAGCCTATCTGCAACATAGATGTGTGATATGCCAAATGAGGTACAAGATTGGCGATCAGCGAATAAAGCTGCCATGCAAACATGCATACCATGGTGAATGCATCACCAAATGGTTGGGCATCAACAAGGTCAATGGCATCCCAATTAGGATGACCCTGCTCCCTACTCTTCTGAGTATGGACTGTACATGTCAAAGCTGATATCAGTCTGTTTATCTGACAGATTTGCCCGGTCTGCAATGTCGAGGTATTTGGCAAGGAATGAAAGGATCAGGGGATCAATCTACTGCTGAGAATGCTGGTGGGATTAGGCTGTTTTGCAGTTGGAGGCTTCTTTCTTTTTTAGGAGGAAAACTTTTGGTTTGATTTTTGTACACGAGTTATGATATAGGTATAGGGACTATACTATGGTCCGGGTCTCATTCAGGTCCTATTGAGTTGGATCGTAATTGCCCAGGTATGTTCCAGGCTAAATTCGCAAGTGTATATCGAATTCTCAGATCTGATTGCGTGACGGAGGATTTTGTCTAGTTTTCTTCTTTTTCTGTATGACCTATACATTTACCTATCAGATCCAACGTCTTGGACCATATCCACTATGAAGTAGCTTTAGTTTTGAGTCCTCCGGCATATTCAGCTTTGCTACATTTTTTTTTTCCATTTCCAAGCATTAAACCCCACGAAGAGCTATGAATGTCTCAAAAGAAAATGTAAATCGACATCTGATTCGCAGATGGTTGATCGGTTTATCCTTGAGGGATGGTGTGCGGCGTGACTGTCCACCTGAGCTGAAAGAGAGGTCAAGAAATGAAGAATGGGAAGGGGGGCGTTGTGTCTCTACGAAAGAGAGACGGAATCGAATGGCGGCGGGTTCATTGGTTGCTGCCATATTCCCACACAAACAAGTCAAGAATGTTGAGTCTGTCTGTGCAAATTATAACTCTCTCATGTCATTGTTTGGCCTAATTCCTTAACGAAGCACAAATTTATGACTATGGCCCAATCTTTTGTCTTAAAAAAAAAGTACCAATTTTCATTAGGGACCGAAACCTGTTAAGTTGCGTAAAAAAGTCGACGTGGCAATAGACTTGGACCGTGCACCGCTTGCTGGTATTAACCTGGCGTCCGAACCCTATGGAATGACGTCATTTAAAATTGTGGGAAAAATGAGGGTCATTCAACTTCAATTGTGGGGGAAAGGGGGGGGGGGGGTTGTTTCATTTGGGGGCAAAATTAGGATTTAGAGGGATATAAATTTAGGGTATTTGCCCCAATTTCAGTGAGAGAGAGAGAGAGAGAGGAAATCAAATGCTAATGAAGGTACGAAGAGACAACATTTCATCGGATTGGGACGTCAAGTGAGCAACGTGTGAGATGCATGGTGGTTCAATATCTGTCGCCACATTGTATTGGGGGATGGTGGGCTTAACAGGTGTTGGGTCTCGAGCAAAAGTCGATGTTTTTCTCTTCAGGACAAGCAAAGAGTCAGTCACTGTAAGTTTCGTAGTTTTATAAGGAGACGAGATGTCTGTCAATTCCTTCCTCTGCTTTTGTATGTTTTTTAACCCAGTCCAAAGTTAGGAGGAGGAGACCACCGCTTGTGTCGTAGAGAAATGAAACGAATATAATATAAAAACTAATAATAAAAAAGGGCGATTCTCCCCTCCAACGGTCACCCCCATTAACAAACCCAGCCTCGCTTCCCCCCCTCCCTAACGTAACGTTCACTCCCTCTCTCCTCTCTCTCCAACGTCTCTCTCCCTCTCTCTCTCTCTCTCTCTCTCTCTCTCACTCTGTGTCTGACCGTCTGTGTCTGTGTCTGTATCCTCCCTTCCCTTCCCTTCCCTTCCCGAGCGAAGTCCTACTGATACTAAACACGGTGAGCGAGAGCTGAGCAGAGCAGAGGGGAAGATCTTTTTGGGTTCTTCCCGCATTCCTCTCCGACGCCGCCCTTCTGTGTTGTTTTGTTTTGTTTTCTTTCTTCGGGTGGGTTGGGTGGGAAAGAGAAGAAATGGAGCCGGCCAAGATCGACTGGAAGAAGATCGAGTCGGTGTTCGTGGAGGACGACCTGTACGAGCACTTCGACGCCCCCAAATGGGTCGACTTCTCCTCCTCCTCCTCCCTCGACCCCGACCCCGACCCCAACCACGACGACGACGACGACGCCGCCCGCTTCTTCTGCAGACCCGGTAACTCACATCCCCTCTCTCCCCTCCCCTCTTTTGCTTTACGCGCCTCACCTCGCATGAAAAAAGGAACTTTTTCCATTCGCAGAGTGCAAGCATCCGAGGACGACCGAGGATTTGTTGAAATCCACCCCCGCCTCCTCCAGCTCCAAGGTTTTTCCCCCATCTCCATCTCCTTTTCTGATTCTTACTATATATTAGCGTAGAAGCAGTTCCATCCAAGATCTCAGCTATTGAAAAGCTGCTCCTCCTTACCTAAATTGACCTACTAATCGGCCTATTTCTGGGGAAACTCGGTGTTCTTTGCTTAAATCTGTCGCTTACTAAACACAGACTCAACTGGGTATTTTCCTATTCGATTCTTTTGAAGAGTTGTCGGTCTTGAACTTTGGGTTCACCTCAGTTGCCTCAAATGGGTGTCCATCTCGGTAGAGCACGAGCTTCCGTTTAGCTCCACTGTTCTGTCATCTATTCTGATTTCTGTACAACCAAAGCAATAACATAGATATTTCATATTGGTTGGTTTTTCTGTCCTAATCTATGCTTGCCTCTTTCTTGTTTTGTGTTTGTTTGTTTTTTTTTTTTTGGGCGGTGAAGCTCCGGAGACAAGCTAATATGTATGAAATCCTTCCGCTTGGTGACCGGAATCAAAGGTACTATTGATGACCTTCTCTCCGAACAGGTTATTGGGATAGTTACTCTGTACATTTAGCTGAATCCAATGCGTTTTGGTTTCCCATCTAGAGATGTTGTCTTCAAGAGAAGAGGGGCAACTCAGTCTAGAGTTCCACCGAGCAAAAGTCCCAACAGACCCAATCAAGATAGTGAAAATCAGAACCCTAATTTGTCTACTCCTCTCAATCTCTATTCCATCACAAAAGATACGATCAAATCGAGCACTGAAAAGAAGAAAGCAGCAGACGATGGGACGGGGGCTACTGCTTTACCGAGACTCAGAAGCACGCTCTCAGCAAGGAATTTGTTCGCTGGTCGTGACATTTTGAATCAGATTTCAGAATTCTGCAGTGAACTAAAGAAACTGGCGACCAGGACCAAGGAGAAAGAAATTGCGGAGAAGCAGAATGTGGTGAAGGATGTCGCTCCTACAGAAAAGGAAAAACCTAGTGATGTTTTGGAGGAGTTAGGTGGGGAAGGGAAAGAGAGAAAGCCGCTACTTGAAGTCAGTATCGAGAAATCTGATGGCATGAAGAAGAGCAACACCAAGGAAAAGGGCCAACGGATTAAGTAATCTCTCTCTCTCTCATGCTTGCGCGAGTGTAGGGGTGGATGTTTGTGTGCATGTATGAACATGTTGGGGTGGGCATGGAGGAAGGATCAGCTGGCTTGTTTTTGGTTTCATGTGCACCATTAGTAGGAAATAGCAGTGTTGTACAAAAATGCTAGTTTTGTGAACTAGATTGATCGTTTGCTAGGTTATGGTTGCCCAAGTTGATTCATTGTACTCAGTGAAAGCTAATTTTCATCATATGAAGAAATCTCAAGGCCCTTTATGCAAATTAGCCCCAGAGTGGTACCACATTTAGTGAGCTCCTGGTGGTTTTAAGAAGATTAGACTGCATATGATCTCTCTGTTATATCATGTGCCTGCATTGTCACTGAGTAATTGACTTTGATGACTGTACCATACAGAAGAGTCGAAGAGGCGGAAAATGTTCCAATCAAGCTAGACTTGGAGAATGTAAGGCACAATGAGAAGGAGATCTTGTCGCATATCCGCACTAACCCTCCCACTCCCCAGTGTTTTTCAGCCACTCGCGAGCCTGGCAAACCAACTCCTTCGAAAGCTACCAAATCTAGGTTTATGGTACGTCACTATCTCATCTTCTTTTTCTTCATTTGCTTAGAAGGGATCCGAAAAGAACATGCCTGAGGATACGAAGATGAAAAATGATATCACAGTTGTTGTGTCTGCCTTAGATAGCATTCTTTCGCTTTTCGCCTTGTGTGGGTTGTTCCATGGATTACTTGCTAACCACCCACAAGCCTAAAAACATGTATGCATCCTAGAATGTCCCCTGGAGAAAATGACATGAAACACCAATTAGTCTGTCCTTCTGTTGACTTAAAATAATATGCTGTGGTCCTTAAGACTTAAAATAAGTAACATGCATTTGGAAACATATCATTAATAATCCAGAGTTATTTTGCTTTACCATGGTTGTGTTCATTTATATTGGAACATAAAAATTTAGTAGGGGTGACCTGATTAGGCCAATCTCAAACTTTACCTATCCGAGATAGCAGATGTTCATCAAGCACCCACATATTTTTCCTGGCTTTCACCACCAGAATGTATTGGACTGGCTCCTAACCATTTCAATCTAAGAGAGAATGTAGAAATTTCTGGACAGGATGCTAAACAACAATGTAATGTAGGAACATGCCTCTGTTAGTCTTATGTACAGACAGAGAATGCCAGTCTGTAGCTCTGTGGGTGATTATCCGTGTTGTTTTTCCCATTTTGTGTGGACTGATGTTTTTCAAAGACGCATTGGGGTGCGATTCAAGGGCTTGCTAAACAGAACAAAAGTTAAGTTGAAGTTGGTTGTGGAAATTGGGACTAGAAATTTCAGCCACGTAATTGGCCTATTATGAATCTCTCAGGCGTATGCGTTAAACCTGTAATTTTATAAGTAGTTATCAAACAAAACTGACCTATATCTCATATATCTGGTTTTAACCATATTATTAATTGCAGCCCCGTGTGTGTGCACATTATGATGGTATTAATTAACACTTGTGATATTCTGGTTACTAGGAGAGACAAATCCTTCAAGAGGTGAAGTTGAACAGGGGGGCGGTGGCAAAGGAGGAAACTCCCGACAAAGGGAAAACCGTGTCTATGGTGGATGGAAGAGACGCAAAGCCACTCGCCGTGTTTTGGTTTCTAAAGCCCTGCACTCTGTCAAGCTGAACTAGAAATTTCGAGGGATGAGTTTCTTATAGAGATCAAAGTGGGAAGAGTCTTCAAACGGTTGCTCAAGTCGGGACATCAAAGTATAGTAGCAAAATATTCGTTCATTCTTTCATTCATTACTTTCTCATCGAACTCTTTCCCCTGCTCTGCACAATGTTGCTTTCCTATATGTTACCTTATTGATGGGATACAATAACCAAACGTGTATTCATTGTACCGATGGACACAATAAAAACTAAGGCAGCTCATGTTTCTACTGTATTTTAGATAAGAATTCAGGATGAGACCACCACACGGCCCATTTCCCAATCCTATTTGGATAACTATCTTATTACTGGATAAGTACTGATAATTCAGAGCATTGTCCTGTCCCGGCCTCATCCTATGATTTCTTGGCAATTTTGTCTCTCATATGTTTTCGTTCACGGGTCCCAGTAGATTGCTGGGGATGACGAATCTACAGAACCGCCATTCCCCTGTCCTTCTATCAAGTGTCTTTACCAAAAAGGTGAAGAAACTGTTCAAAGTGACTAGTGAATTTCGGTTCTTCTGGTGTGAATATCGTCAGGATTCAGAACCAAACCAAGAACAATTGCCCTTTTTGCCATGATTTTCCGAATCCCCCTCTGGCTTTGATCAACAAAAGTAAAAGATCAAGCCATACATGCAGTCGCAAGTCTTGCAGAAGACAAGACTCTCAGATCGTTGCCCATTTATCTGCATCAATCTGGACAGCTCCTCTTGATGATAAAAGATTTGATACTCGAACGAAATTGATCGGAACTAATCTATGGAGACGAATGATCCAATCTGATCTCCCAGATATAGATTGAAAAAGAAAGAAAAGCAGCAATAAAAAAGGTTTCTTTATGAAGATTAAGAGCGGAAAACGGCCCAGATATATAATATGCCTTCAAAAGCTCCCTGTTCGTGATTTCTCGAATCGTATGAACACGAGGATATTCATCCCCCAAATCAAACAAGAAAGAGAGAAAGCACCGCCATCGATCAAGAACAACAGCCTCTCGGTCCCCTCCACCAACTAAATGACATCCTACCAAAAAACCCAAAGGCCAGAAAAAGCAGCTAGGCAATATAATAATAATAAAAAAAAAAGGAAGAAACTTTACAAGAGAATCGGGCATGGAGTACGATCAGGCTTTAGGCCGTACTACAGAGAAGACAGTCGACCATCCGGACCCAGACATGGCGAACGCGAGGATAGACACGGTGGGTGTAGGTCCTGGACTCCCGCATCAGATCCTCCATCGTCTCCACGAACAGATTCAAGCTCCTTATGGGTGGCACATACAGGGTGAGGGGCACCGCCGAGAAGGCCACCGTGAAGAACAGCTGCAACACCATCTGATCCTCAGGATCCAAAGAAAGCCAAGAAACGGGTCTCTTGAGGACGAGAGCGATGCTGGGAATTACAGAAACCCTCGTGAGATCAGGACAGAGGAAGGAGGGAAACAGAGAGAGGGAGAGACGGGGGACGTCTGGAAATCTGAGGAACCCTGCGAAACACGTGACGCCTGCGAGCTTATGCTGCAAGGACTGACTGGTTGTTGGCTTTTTTGGGTTGGGCGTGGGGTTGACTTGTAAAGTGTATGGACAGTAAATGCCATTCATTGCTCCTTCCCATAGAGATCGTGATCTCCCCCCTTCCCCATTTACAGAAACTTTGTTAAAAGAGAATTATGTCGACGAATCGGGAATGGTCCAGATGTAACGCCATGTTTGGCAAGAAAAGGCGAATCAGAGCTTCATAAGGCATCCCCAGGCATTTTGAGATTCTCTCGTATTTCAACCCCCAACCCCCCCACCTTTTTCCTTTTCTTTCATCGCCCAAATGCAGCATTCACGTGCTTTCGTCGTGATTGGATCGTTGCTATTGGGTTGGGGATCAATTCATAATCCATGTTTCTTGCCGAATTTACCATCAACTCATCCAACTTTTGCGTTTTGCAAACTCGATTCGGCCTTCTCTGCGTCTTCCATACATACTTGTTTTGTGCAATCGAGTCTTTTCTCCACTCATCTTGGCAATTTCGTATAATTCGGCGATATCACGCGATTGATACGAAATATCCCCGTTGCAACAACTGGCCTATATTGAAAATGAGTTTCTTCACGGACCTAATTTGGAAATGCATTCCCACGTTAAATCTGTTACGGACAATCATTGTGAGTAGCGAATTATCAAACAACTAAGCACATGCAAAATCGGATTCGCTCTTATGGCTGCTTAACAAGGTTTTTAAGAGCATCTCTAAGGAAGGTCTTATTGGGCAGGTCAAAACTAACAAGTGAAGATGGTGAGGATTGGCCCATGGTAACAAAAGTCTGAAAAACTAAGGGTAAAATCCATTAAAAACTCTAAATTATGCCGACTGTGATTGATTTATCCTTAATTTTTTTCTTGTGATGCCAAAACTTTCAAACTTGTATCTATGCGACACATTTATCCTCCGACAAAATTTTGTCGTTGATAATGGTTAAAAAATCTGTTTACATGGACGCCGGAAAGCAAACATTATTGACATTAACTGAAATAAAAACGAGTTGTTTTGGGTGATAAATCATTTGACAAAATCTTGACGGAGGGTAAATGTGTCACATAGGTATAAGTTTGTGGTTTTTTTATATCATAAGAAAGAGTTTAGGGTAAATGTGTTCTAGTGGATATAATTCGAAATTTTTTATATTATAAAAAAAATTCAGAATAAATATGTTACCGTATGCTATAATTTAAAGTTTTTCGTGGTTTTTTCGCTGGGATGGCCTTCCAAGTTCTTTTCCCCTTCTGGGCCTTCTCTTTGTGGTAGGTTCAGCAATCTGGGTCGGTCCAACCTTTGATGTGGCAGTCTTTTTCCCTTCTGGATTGTTCATTAGAGACATAATGGACGAGATACCCAGGATTGATAAAAAAAGGATAAGTGAGGAAACATCCCTCTCACGCTCTTCGCTTTTTCGATAAGACAAACTGGTCGTGCTTTTACTTCACCTTTATTGGCATTAATCATGACCACAGATGTTTAAGGATTCGTATATGATATGTACAAACTCCATAGAATTGTATTTACTTCTGTCGACTTTGATTGTGCTGAATCATTAATCACTTGAACTGTAACAACATACTCGTACAACACAATATTCACGGATATTTGATTGGAGTTTCAGACGAGTGGATACAAATGGATTTCGATATCCCATTCCATGGTTTGGTGGGGCTTGAAAAAAATCATTGATTAGGTAGGTGAGTTTAGCTCGAGTCAAGTTTAAGATCAGATAGATAATTCATACATAAAATAAAGGTAGGATGTCCAAACTGATGCGGTTATATCCCTACCTCCTAACTAATAGTTAATTAGCAAAATTATTAGTTTCCTTGACATATATATTTCGAAGAGATTACTAGATATATATGATCTCTTAATAGAATGATTAATTGAATTATTCCTGGCACCAAAGGTATTCATGTGTCTTTTTAGGGTTAATACCACGAAAAACTCCAAACTGATACACATGTGATAAATTTACCAAAAATTAATTTTTTGACCACTAAAAACCCAAAACTGGTACATTTGTGACAAATTTATTTTCCGTTAAATTGGATTAATACCACGAAAAATCACAAATTGATAAATTGTGACAAACTGAGGGTCAAAACCCTAAACTAGTACACCCGTCAACTGTCACGTGTTATCTAACTCAGCAATTTAACGGTAACATTGAACGGAAACTAACAGAGAGTAAATTTATTACATGTGTATCAATTTGAGATTTTTCGTGGTATTAACCCTTTTTGTAAATCTTTTTTCATTCCTTTCTACATGGGTTTTCTTGGAATAGAACAACACATAAGTGTTGACACCTAAATTTTGGTATCCCATCCAATAATTAATTGCATAGAAAATTAGGGATCGACCTTGGCCCATAAAATATATATATAATTGCACAACATATAATTTTAGGAGCATTTATCATATAGTTAGTTAATTAATTGAATGTGCATTGGACCGGCGGTGATGAATGGACTTGAATCCGTCACGTGGACCGGACTTGCACTACGTTGAAATTCAGCCAAGCCTGTTGGGGGAATTGGTGGCCGAAATTCATAAAGAAAAGAGGCCATGATGGACCTAATTGAGCTTAATTTAGCCCATTTGATTTTAATTAAGAGAGAGGCCTTGAAATTAGAATCCATTACTCTTGACAGGCCAAAGTTTAAGCCTGTGAGAATAAGGTTAAACCTAGGCTAACATTATAAACAGGCCATCATGCCTCATAACTCTAAAGCTTCGTTTGGTCGTCCGTATTCTAATTGGAATAGGATAGGATAAAAAGGGATTTAAAATCCTCCACATATCCCCATATTGCAAAAATATCCTATCATATGTTTGATGCAACCTAAAATAGGATTTGGAATATTTGAAAACAATCTTTGAAAATCTTTAAAAATCCTTGAAAATCCGATCTCTGACTTTGCTCCTCCTCTTGTATGTGAGACTTAAACCCTCTCGACCACGTCTCTAGGAAGGCAACCTTGGGAGCATGACGTCTCTCAACCGACACGAGTTCACATAATTTTGGGACGGCCTCGTGAAGAGCGAGAGGCACTCCACTACCGAAGAAAGCTACTAAGAGAGGCGACATTGGAGAAGGTGTGCGTCGTGGGATGGGCTTGCAGGAGGAGATTCTACACCACGGTGCAGGTGGAACTCAACGCTTGAGAGCATGGTCACCAAGAAGCTGATGATGTGCTGGCCATTTGTCGTCGACCAGTAGGTGAATAGCCGGCTCGTGAGTCATGTGTGAAAGTTTGACCGGACGTGAAGGACATATGCGACTGGGGTGGAAAGGATGATTTATGCAAATCCGTCACAACGATAGTCTTTTCACCCTTACTTGTCAGAACACATCGCCGCCCGGCGGAGATGACTAGCATGGTCGGAGGTGACGGCGATCGTGCGGTGGTTGGAAGTGATGATGATCGGTAATTTTGGTGATGGTTCTCGAGCGAGCGGTGCCGATGAAGCAATATGCGAAGCGTCATTTTATCACTCTTTTAAAAGATAAAATATGAATTTTTAGTTTTTTTAAAAATTTTATATCGTATCCGGTCTTATCCCATCCCCCGATTTCATATCCGGCATTTTATTCGAATGTATTCGGTCCGGAGAACATCACTAAACACCGGATAAGATAATTTGTTATCATATTCGGACTACCAAACGCAACCTAAGAGGGCAAATTAAAAATCTCAGAGCACATTGAGAGAGAGAGAGAGAGAGAGAGAGAGAGAGAGAGAGAGAGAGAGAGAGAGAGAGAGAGAGAGAGAGAGAGAGAGAGAGAGAGAGAGAGCCAAGCTGTCCAAGGACTTGGACATGACCTTGCTGAGCTTGTGGGCGAGCCCTTTAATCGGGAAGAACGGAATCAGATTTTGAAACAAGAATACACTATTGTTAATAGTTACTGGCAAAAATCCTTCGGAATACAACAAAGTCTAAAAAATGAGAATATCAAAACACAAGTTTGGTATTTCTCCAAGAATTCTCAAAAGGAAATAGTCGGAGAATAAACTCTTGTATTTTTTTAAGAAAGAAACGAAAAATTTAAAAAGTACAAAAATATTAAACCAGTTAAATATATAATAACTAAACCCTTTTATGAACAACCATACTGTTTTCAAAAGGGCACAGCTTTTCACATTTCAAGAAACTTTAAATTCGGTTTTTTTAATAAATGATTTTTTTTTTAAAATAATCGCAAAATAATCGCCGTTAATAAGCAAACTCATATATTTTCGACGTTTTGTCTATTTTACAAACAAACTATTAGCATGTCTAGAATTGCATGAACCCCATGAGGGCACAAAGGACTTGAAACCATCGGAAACGATGCAAGAAACTAGAGGAACACTAGCAATGCTAGAAGTTGAATGTAGAAGATTGGATACGAGGTCGGAGAAAGGAGTGGCCACGTACTTCCTCCTCCATTCACAGAGTGCAGCCAGGTCTTACGTAGCATCGGCATCCAAAGGCGCCATCCCGTCCGGTATCGTTAGAAAGTGAAAGCGATCGCCGCCCCTCGAATTCGGCCCCTTCCCGGCTCCTGTTTTTGAGTAACCTTGTGTGGTTGAACTCAGTGTTGACAAAGCTGATGTAAAAGCCCTTGTGATGGAGAAGTTTGGCCAATTTGAGCATTGCACCCATGTGGCCCTGCAACGGGTTTGGGACACAAAGGGCATGGAGTTTTGATGATTCATACTTCATCCACGGAACCCACCTGTTGGATCCTTACAATGATTCCTCCTCACTCTACAAGCTAGAATTAGATCTTTCACACACATACCCAACGTGTACATAAGGCATAAATTCGATATGACAAAGTCATGCCGATACAGTCTGCTTGCCCTCAGTCTTTGGAGTGAGGTCCTTTGTGTGGCTCATTTTCAGTTGTGGGTCCTGCTTTGCACATCAATACTCTCCACTCAAGGTGAGCGTGTCTTTTGCCCATCAATAATACTCTCCATTTAAGTCGGGACCGATCTGACCCAAAAAAAAAAAAAAGGGTCAGGGTGTATTTTTGGAGAAATTACTTTGCATTTTTCCATAGACTTTTGGCTCAGGGTGTATTTTTGTAAAGTAGCTTTGAAATAAAAAAAAAGAAAAACAGATATTTGCTTTTCTCTTCATAAAAAAATTC